GCTATTGTGAATGGACAAAAATGTCTATTGCAAATGCATATTTTTGTTATATAATACATGCATATAACAAGTTAGATTAGGGGAACCGCTTAACCGGTTATGATAACGTAGGAGAGTTTCACCTAAGAGCTTTTTGTTTTAACTATTTTTGGTTTGGTAGGCTATTTTTTTTTCACTTATTCATATTTTAAGAAACTAAGCCATGGAACAACAAACTGAGTTTTTACGTCCTTTGGTAATGAATTTTCCTCTTATTCTGATGCTGTTTATATATACGTCCTGGCTAGCAACAATGTTAAGTGCACGATTGACAGTGGATACGGTTCGTGTTCGAACCCTGTAGTTTCTGTTTGTCATTATGTTTTGTTTTCAAATACTAAAATTTGAACAACAACATACTTACTTCTGTTAAATGTTTCACACTATACAATTTTTTTATAGAATACTTCTGTACCAAATGTCTACACAATTATTGCACAATCGAGATAATGCATTCCAATCTGATAGGAACGTTTGCCTTTTATTCGATAAAATAGCATGAACAACATTGGCAGAGATTGTACAGTTAACAGAAATCGCTGATTGCAGAGATAGAAATAATAATTAACTTAGCAAATCATGAATCTCAATCTAATCCTATAAATCCATAAGTTTGAAAAGCTGAATACTAGCTATATACATATATATCATTAATATATCCGTCTTAAACACGCCATTACCATAGCCCCAATTTCTTCTGTCTGAAGCATTTAAGACAGATTTTCACACTCTCCCAATATCTTTATATTGAACAGCAGTATCATGCATTTGGGTAGCGTTTTCATGAAAATATTAAGGTCTGTTGATTAAGATGTATGTATATAACGTAGCTATATATATGCTCATTCGTTATTGTACTTATCGATGGACAAAAGTTTTAAGTCAGAAACAAATATTTCCCGTTGCTGTTCCAGAAACAATTCTGTATTTCTCACCAAGTTTTTTTTTTTTTGAAGAATTCACCTGGCAATTTTAGTTTGGTGAATGTATCAGTTATACTTCAAAGGAGTCGAATCTCAGGGCAGCATATTCTAATGACTTTGTTCTAGTAATCAGAAAAAAAAATGCTTTGCTTTTATCAGCAATTCATTGCAAATTGATTAAAAATATAACAAAAACATATAAATTAACGTTTTAGTTTTAAATTAAAACCTCACTTTATATAACCATAAAAAAATCGCATGTTAAAAAGAAATCCACATAATCTTGATGGATTTTTTTTTTTCATTTTATTGATTTCTAATTTATGATGCATGAGTCGCAATGGATATGCTTAATCCATGTAGTTTTGAATTGTCTATATATTGTTTTGGTTTCATATACTCAAACTTAAAGCAACTCTAGTTTTTTTTAAACGCATCACAATATCTGATTTGTTTGTAGTTAATGACCTTTGCAAGTTTTTCATTAAATTGTCCTTTGCAATAATGTATTTTAACCTGATAGTACTTTTTGCCTTGTCTACGATAAAATAACGTAAATAGCACTGGAAGAACATGAACATTGAACTAACGGCGAATAGAGATCGCGATAGCAGCAATATATATCCGTACCAACTTAGTTATAATGAAAAATATCATGTAAATCTATAATTGGATATCAAATCAAATATAGCTATATAGTCAATACATCAGTCAAAGACTCAGCTTAACTACAACCAAAGTTTCTTCTATGTGAAGATTTTTGTTTTTTTTGGATTGATCAATTGATTCATTGAATGGTTTTACGTATACACACATACATCATTTATTTTAAAACAATTATGAAACAAGTAATTTCGACTTAAATAAATCATTTTATGGTTTTTCATCAGCTTCACTACCGAGTAGTTTAGTTGTACTGTGGACGCCTATGAGTTCAAACTACTAATCAAAAATGTATTAACATTAAATTGGATATTGTTTTGATGAGAATGACGATCTGTCAATTGACCTGTATACATACACATGTATAACGTATATTTATGTTCAGTTTAACAAATAACGCTCGTTATTGTACGCTTTGACCCATAAAGCCCTTTAATCAGAAATAAATACTTCCTGTTGCATCCTCGCGATACTATAGATTACTTGATTTCTTTCCAGAAAAACCAACATGGGCGGAATATCCCTCTTAAAATTGTCATCTGGCAAGATATTTTTGTGAATGTATCATTCACACTTTTCAGTTCCCCATCATATTAATACAAATTACTTCTCTGTTCCTCGTCCTAATCATGCATTGCAAAAGCGCAAGGTAAATCAGTACAGATTTAAAAACAAAACATACAATACTTTCTTCAGCAGCTACTACATAAGGAAAAATCAACAAAAGATGCTTTAACACGGTTAGAAAACCACGGAAAAATAGTTGATATTTAGTGGAAATATGTAACTTGTGTGAAGTGCTACTTAAATCCACTCATTTAATACCTAATTTATACAGGAGAAAACAATCAAACATTACCAAGATAAACCGCACATGCGCAATCAACATGATAACCATCAGGCGTTGTTGATTGTAGATATGCTTTAGGAAAATAAAATCCAAGAACTTAATATACTATTAACACAAATGATTAAAAAAACAGAAATATCTGCATGGTAAAAAGTAATATGATCTTTACGTTATGATTTTGAATTTTGATTTAAAATGTGTAATGGATCTAACGAGACACATCATTACTTATGAAAAAAATATAAAATAACAAAAGGTTTGACTTCACCAAAAAATATCAATTTAGCAAATTTAAAAAAACATATACCAATAAAAATTTCTGTCCCCATAATCTGATGTAGAAATGTTAATTCATCAGAGCTTACCAGATATTTATGCCGCATAACTTATCTTTCCATGACATTTATGAAAATGAGAAAATTTTGGAATATATTTGCTTCCAATTTCCTTGAAAGTTAAAGTGCAAGATTTTTATAAACAGTGTAACATACCTACCGAATGTAAAACAGTGTTACTAAATAACCGGTTATCATAGGTGAGTATTACATACCTACCAAGTGTAAAACAGTGTTACTTACTATCCGGGAATTATAACAGTGTTAGATACCTAGCGAGTGTAAAACAGTGTTACTCTCTTACTGGGTATTATAGTGTTACATACCTAACGAGTGTAAAACAGTGTTTCTTACTAACCGGGTTTTATAACAGTGTTACATATCTAACGAGTATAAAACAGTGTTACTTACTGCCCGGGAAATACAACAGTGTTACATACCTAACGAGTGTTAAACAGTGTTACTTACTACATGGAAAATACAACAGTGTTAAATACCTAACGAGTGTTAAACAGTATACAATTATTTCATGGCTATTTGGGGAACGTCAAACCTATCATCCCGAGATAGGAGGACGCCCTGGCGGCCGAGAGCAAACAGTTCCACAGGGCTTCTCCCTACCGAGGAATGGTAGTTTTGACTGTTCCCAAAAAAGCATTGAAGCAATTGTTTTATTACCAAATACATATTAGTAACAATGATGCATGCAATGGTGTTAATTTGTTTAAAAATAACGAAAGAGGTCAAATAACAGCTTCAAATTTGATTATTAACAAAACCGAAATTTGACTCTCGAGGGGGGGATTTCTGCGCATCGAATTCGCGCCGGGTAAGAGTTCGCTCTGACCGGAAAAAAGTTTCAACTGTTTCACCCCTACAGCCGAAATATAAAAATAAGCCAGAAATAGTAAATGAATAAACTCGTTATAATTTTTATAGACTTTTGGATAATAATGTTACTTACTAACCGGGTATTATAACAGTGTTACATACCTACCGAGTATTATAACAGTGTTACATGTCTAACGAGTGTAAAACAGTGTTACATGTCTAACGAGTCTAAAACAGTGTTACTTATTAACCGGGTATTATAACAGTGTTACATACCAATCGAGTATTATAACAGTGTTACATGTCTAACGAGTGTAAACAGTGTTACATGTCTAACGAGTCTAAAACAGTGTTACTTACTAACCGGGTATTATAACAGTGTTAAATACCTATCGAGTATTATAACAGTGTTACATGTCTAACGAGTGTAAACAGTGTTACATGTCTAACGAGTCTAAAACAGTGTTACTTATTAACCGGGTATTATAACAGTGTTACATACCAATCGAGTATTATAACAGTGTTACATGTCTAACGAGTATAAAACAGTGTTACATGTCTAACGAGTGTAAAACCGTGTTACTTACTAACCGGGTATTATAACAGTGTTACATACCTACCGAGTAGTATAACTGTGTTACATGTCTAACGAGTGTAAAACAGTGTTACCTGTCTAACGAGTGTAAAACAGTGTTACTTACTAACCGGGTATTATAACAGTTTTACATACCTACCGAGTATTATAACAGTGTTACATGTCTAACGAGAGTAAAACAGTGTTACATGTCTAACGAGTGTAAAAAAGTGTTACTTACTAACCGGGTATTATAACAGTGTTACATACCTACCGAGTATTATAACAGTGTTACATGTCTAACGAGAGTAAAACAGTGTTACATGTCTAACGAGTGTAAAACAGTGGTACATGTCTAACGAGTGTAAAACAGTGTTACTTACTAACCGGGTATTATAACAACGGTGTTGTACACGTACTGAGTATAAAAAAGTGTCACCTTATAACAGGATATAATTGAACAACACTGTTACATGTTTACTTGGTATCCTATAGTCGTACGTATATGTTATATAAAAAATGCGAAATTGGAAAATTGAATATATTTCTTGAACAAGACTCTAAGAATAACATTATACAAACCAATTTTCTGTTCTTACTAATTTATTCTTTTTTCGAAACCTGTTTTTTTTATCCTAGTGATCCAAATGTAGCAAGTTTCGTTAAAAAGACAAGATAACATGATTCATCGCCGAAATATATTATTAAACGACTTCTGCCAAATTTATTAAATGTATTAGGCAGAATGATGACATTTTATTGTAAAATTCTTTATCTATTTCCAGATTGAGGATCCGAACTAACATCGTGATTCTACGTCGCATAATTTGCCATCAAGTGCTCCATTGTGTAGAAAACAGTAACTATGAATCGTTTTTCCTTTTTCGCCTTATGTGTTTTACTTGCTGTGTGCTTATTGGGAGCGATCGTTGTGATTCTGTATTATCACTCTTTATCTAGAGATGTCAAATCTGTCAATGTGTTCAATATTTCCTTCAGTGCATCCTTTAACATCGACACAATTGAACATGATAATCTTGGTACTGAAAAAACTTACCTGAAAATAGAATGGAATCCGACGACGCGGAAAATGAATTTCCAGCAAAATGAAGTGTTCTCATCAAACTATGATTTCGACTACGAACTCTTTTTTATCATGACAGATGATAAAGCGACTATTGGCCTTTCTCACATGAATAGTTCGCTAGCATTCTGTATTGAGGACATTTCCCTGTTAAAATGGTTAGACGTTTTTCAACACATTGTAACAGTGGACAATTGGCGTAGCGATGCAAAGTCAAGCAGATGTCGTGGGGACATCTGGTTTACGAAACACAATGGTGATATCATTGAAATCTGCACATATGATAACCATTTAGATTATGTTAAGTATCAAAACGATCGCGCTATGTTAGCCAAATGGACAACAACTGATGAGCGGAATATCCGTATTCGATCTGATGTACTGAATGGCCCGTGCGGCAATGTCACATATTTTAAATGCAATAATTTGCATAACGTTCCGAAAGTGAAAAGGGACTCGGGGATATCGCCGACCACGTGTTTGTTCGTGCATGGAGCGGGTGAGAACGCGAATGGTAACGATGTCAAACCAGATCTTACCCACTATTGGGGTGATATCAAAAGTCAAACGTCTGATTGTGCTTCGCATAAATTTCTTGTCTATAACAGCAGGGACAACGGCTGGGATGAGGACCAGATACACCAGCACTTTTGTAATGTGGCTGCCACCAATGGAATTATTACCGACACGGTGATATTTTCACATTCTATGGGGAACTTGGTGATTGCAGCTGCACTGCACCGACAGAAGTGTACCTTTAACCAGGTGACAAGCCGCTGGTATTCTGTTCAAGGCCCGTGGACAGGGAGTGTTGTAGCTAATACTCTCTCAAAAATTTGCAGAAATCCTACGCTTCACCAGATATTGATTCGCCGTATATTGCGGGCGCAAGGTTACTGTAAACCTACTGAAGATAGAGAATTTGATGTCTACACTACACTTAAAACCGACTATATATCACCTACTGGGATACGTTATCATCATCTGATACAAATAGGGAAGAAGTTCGTATCTGGAGTGATGTGCGGAACCTCAAATTGGGGGTTAGCGAAGCACTACACTGAAAGCTTTGCACTCAAGATGATGCAGTTTTACAGCAACCTGGAGAAACCCAATGATGGCATGGTGGCGTTAGAGAGCTGCAAATTAAAGGATGACCAATTCGAAGCAAGAAGCTCCGAACGTTATTACAAAGATAAATTCAACCACGCAGATGGCACTTGTAGAAACGGTGGTTGTCCATGCAAGTGGTATCACTATATGCATTAACTATATGCACTCGTGTACAGTTTTGAGTATAAACGCTGGTTCCCAGTCAAAGGCCCATGGACAGGAAGAGTTTCACCAAATACGATTTCAATATTTTTTTCTAAATGTCGTACGTTCACCGATGTATTGTGTATAAATCGTATAGCAACCGATTGCGTGTATGATAACCTGTTTAGTCAACAACACATTATGGATGTTTCCAGTGACGAGACGTTTATTTTGCATGTCTTTTTTTATTTTCCCGCCTCAATCATATCTATTTAATCAGAACAAAGACTCAATATCATCAAAGTATGCTAAGATTTGATTCATTATTCAAAACATCTGTTTTGAAAACTCGATTATTATTACTTTTTTTTGTGTCTTTTACTATACATGTATATTAGTATGTGTGTATGTGTATACACGAATCTTTAACCAGTAAAGTCTTACGTTAGTATGTGTGTTCAAAAACATGTATGTCATAAAAAGGCATTAAATTTACATACGATATAAGTTAATAACTATGGTACAAATAATATGAATCGTTCTCGCGGAGATATTTCCTTACGAACAAAAGCACAAGAATCCTATTCTACCGTCGAGGTGTCAAAACAATTCTCAACTCTTCGGGTTGAGATTTGAGATTGCCTAACCCTCGTTTCGATACCAGATTGTAATACGTTAAGGAACAGGTGTACATATATTTGCAAAAAGGAAGTATCACTCCTATGTGACGAAGAAGGAACGTTATCTACCAGAAGGTATGTTAGTCGAATGGCAATCAGAAAGCCTGTTCTTTTCGTGGGAACACCATTTTGCTTTCCACACGCCATTTCTGACCAAGCTACCGTGACATCTGTTCCTTAACCACTTTCTGTGTAGAGATGATATCATCATAATACAAATATTTTTTCGCACTTCTGATGGTACATTTGTAAGTATTAACCTACATAAAGACCATTACGAACAAGCATTATTCAACAACCATCATGAGTCGGTATGATCGTGTTTTTTTTACCAGAGTAATGTTACCAAACGCCGCTTTATGTGCAAAACCTGAACAAATAAATTATTAAAACATGATAGTACATACGACTAACTACAGCTAATTGCGAAGCTCATTCATTTGAGAATATAGATAGAGACAGGAAAGTTCAAACAAGAAATACCTAAAAGTACTGTTATAATTGGGAGTCATGATATTTTTGCTCTTCAACCATATTTGTTTAATTATTGTTTTTTTTAATACGTAAACATAAATATTGAGTTATTGTTTCATTTTTAGACATTTGTTTTCTTGATTTATTATTACTTGTTTTACTGTAAGAGTGCCATAAAGTAAGCAGTGAAAATGGGGATTGGGTTTGGATGTGTTGAGTCAGTCATATGTTAGTAAAAGAGAATATATATATATAACATTGCTGTATTGTGATTTTTTTTTCTACTACTGTACAACGAATATTTTTTAAAAAATAGGTAAAATAAACCTTTTTTGATGAACATCCATTTGTACTACTGCATGCATATGTAAATGTATACGATAACTAAATAAAAATATGTAATGTGTCATAGAGTGTTTCTATATGTTGTACCACTTACACCAGGAATCGAAATACCGTACATCTGGTAGTATGCTTTTTACACCGGGAATATAAATACGGTGCATATGGTAACAAGCTTTTTACACCGGGAATGTAAATACTGTACATATGGTAACATGTTTTTACACCGGGAATATAAATACTGTACATCAGGTAACATGCTTTTCACACCAGGAATAGAAATAAATCTGGTAGCATGCAATTTACACCAGGAATAGAAGCACAGCTGGTAACATGCTGTTAACACCGGGAATAGAAATACTGTAATCTGGTGACATGATTTTTACACCGGATACAGACGTTCAACCTTTGACAAGTTTTATACAATGGCTATTGACGTACGACTGGTGACATGGTGAATACACCGGCTACAGACGTACAACTGGTGACATGATTTATACCACGGATACAGACGTACAACTGATGACATGATTTATACAATGGCTATTGAGGTACGACTGGTGATATAATATACAAACCAGATACAGACGTACAACTGGTTACAAAATTGATACACTGGTTAAAGACGTACAACTGGTGACGTGCTATATACACCGTCTACAAACGTACTACTGGTGACGTGCTATATAGACCGTCTACAAACGTACAACTGGTGACGTACTATATGCACCGTCTACAAACGTACAACTGGTGACGTGCTATATACACCGTCTACAAACGTACTACTGGTGACGTACTATATACACCGTCTACAAACGTACTACTGGTGACGTGCTATATACACCGTCTACAAACGTACTACTGGTGACGTGCTATATACACCGTCTACAAACGTACAACTGGTGACGTACTATATACATCGTCTACAAACGTACTACTTGTGACGTACTATATACACCGTCTTCAAACGTAGAACTGGTGACGTACTATATACACGGTCTACAAACGTACTACTGGTGACGTGCTATATACACCGTCTACAAACGTACAACTGGTGACGTGCTATATACACCGTCTACAAACGTAGAACTGGTGACGTACTATATACACCGTCTACAAACGTACTACTAGTGACGTACTATATACACCGTCTACAAACGTTCTACTGGTGACGTACTATATACACGGTCTACAAACGTACTACTGGTGACGTACTATATGCACCGTCTACAAACGTACTACTGGTGACGTGCTATATACACCGTCTACAAACGTACAACTGGTGACGTGCTATATACACCGTCTACAAACGTACTACTGGTGACGTGCTATATACACCGTCTACAAACGTACAACTGGTGACGTGATAAATATACCGTCTACAAACGTACAACTGGTGACGTGCTATATACACCGTCTACAAACTACAACTGGTGACGTGCTATATACACCGTCTTAAAAACGTACAACTGGTGACATGATATGTACACCGGCTACAGACGTACAGCTTGTGACATGATATATACACAAGATACAGACGTACAACCGATGGCATGATATGATCACCGGCTACAGACGTACAACTGTTGACGTGCTATATACACTGGCTACAGGCGTACAACTGGTGACGTGATAAATATACCGGATACAGACGTACAACTTGTGACATGATTTAAACACCGGATACAGACGTACACCTCGTAACTTGATTTATACGTCGGCTACAGTAATACTGCTTGTGACATGATTTATACAACGGCTACAGACGTAGACTTGGTGACGTGATGAATAAACCGGATATAGATGTACAGCATGTGACATTGATATATACACCGAAAACAGACGCACAAATGGTGACATGATTTAAACAATGGCTAAAGACGTACAACTGGTGACGTGATCAATAAACCGGATACAGACTGATACCTGGTGACATGATTTATACAACGGACACAGACGTACAACTGGTGAGATAATGTATACACCAGATACAGACGTACAACTGGTGACATGATTTATACATTTTGCTACAGACGTACAACTGGCGACTTGATAAGTACACCGGCTACAGACGTACAACTGGTGACATGATACATTGTATTAAAACCAGATACAGACGTACAACTGGTGACATGCTATACATACAGGATACAAACGTACAACTGGCGACTTGATAAGTACAACGGCTACAGACGTACAACGGGTGACATGATTTATACAACGGATACAAACGTTCAACTTGTGACATGATGTATACACCGGATACAGACGTACAACTGATAACATCATGTGAACACCGGCTGCAGATGTACAACTGGTTACATGATACATACACCGGATACAGACGTACACATGGTGACGTCATATTTACATCGGATATAAACGTACAACTGGTGACATGCTATATACACCGGATACAGACGTACACTTGGTGTCGTGATACATTCACCAGGTATAGACGCATAACTGGTCACATGATATATACACCGGATATATACGTACAACTCTTGTCATGATTTATACAACGGATACAGACGTACAAATGGTGACATAATGTTTACACCGGATACAGACATACAACTAGTGACATGATATACACACAGGATACAAACGTGCAACTGGTTACGTGATATATACATTGGAAACAGACGTACAACTGGTGACGTGATATTTACATCGGATATAAACGTTCAACTAGTGATTTGATATATTCACCGGCTACAGACGTACAACTGGTGACATGATTTATACACCGGATACAGATGTAGAACTGGTTACATGATTTAAACACCGGAAAAAGACGCACAACTCGTGAAATGATTTATACACCGGCTACAAACGCACAACACGTGACATGATTTATACGCCGGCTACAATAGTACAACTTGTGACATGATGTACATGTATACACTAGCTACAGACGTACAACTGAAGAAATTCCTGGTACATGTCAATAGAGCAAATATCTGAAGGGGAAGCAGGGTAGTGGTCACGTGATTTTGAAAAATCACGTGACCGCAATCATAAAAATAGAACCGGAAGTACAAATGTCAGGAAGCCGAGGTAAACAAATATGGCAGACGACAGATGCGGTAGTCGCCGTTATATCAGGGTAAAGGGAAGACTGGCAAAGAAAGGGACTGTGAATAGGTCAGAAAATATGCGTTTTTTGAACGAGAAGAGTTACAGTACCAGCAACCAAGACCACGATTATGTGGCGATTCCACAACACAGACTTGACAGTACTATTTCATCACACACCGTTCAAGATCGCGATATTCATGTCAGCGAGAACGTGGAAATCGGACCAACGAAACCATGGTTTCAGGGACGAAGGGTGGTTGAGCTAGCAGTGCTGTCCGAAAATATGAATTGTGCCAAATGCAATTCGTGGCTTAGGTTTGTTGACATTGTTGACGAGGTAATTTACGGTATGGCAAGTTACCTTTACATATCATGTCCGAACAGTGCATGCCAGCATGTCAACTTGGTACCCACAGGAAAACGAAATTCAAACAAAGGCTTTGACGTCAACTCCAAAGTGTATCTAGGTAAGTAACAAAACCTAATCTTTCTTGATTTCTTTTCTTTTCATGTGATTTCTATCTTCTGTGCAAGACGATTCGGTCCTTTTCCAGTTTGGCCTCAGCTTCTCTATTATAAGATATTTCGCCCCAGAGAGAGAGAAAGAGTTTCCCCCACTCAAATTATAAGTTAGTTTAACCACAGCTGGCACTTGTATCTGGTATTTAATACCTGAGCTAAAATCCAAAATCCACTATGTACACAAATACAACATTGGCATTTGATTTTAGCTCTGGTATTAAATACAAGCTACAAATCATAAAATCATGGGTAGGTTGGTAAGGAAATTATTTTATTTTTTCAATTTTATTTTTATTTATATTGTAAGTAATTAAAATTCAAACAGAATACATGGTGAGATTTTTTTT